CTTTGTCTATCCAACTGCTGTTCTCTCTCTTTGGGCTCTATCTCTACCTAGCGTTTACTTCCTACCCCCATCCATCCGTATCTTCTGTGTATAAACTGATGTTTTCCTAGTTACCATGAGGTCTGAGGAAGGGTCACCGGATTCGAAACATTAACTCTGATTTTTTCTTCATAGATACTGCCAGACCTGCTGAGGTTTTCCAGCAATTTCTGTTTTGTTCCTGATTTACAGCATCCACAGTTGTTTCGGTTTTTATCAAAAGCAATGGTATTTATACAGTTTTGCATGTTTAACACAAAAAAATCTGAAAATGCTGACAAAGCAGTTCTACAAACTTCATTTACTTAGAAATAAGGACTATTCATGTCTGCGAATAATAAACATTCATTTGTGCTTTTTGGGATGCAGTTTTGATTATGATATATATGTCAAGTTAATGGGGTTAGAACACTTTTCCCAACTGTGCTTTACTGATCTGAGGTATCACCAAGCATGCTGTCAGGTTCCATTGCTTTTGACCAATAGCTCACGTACAAATAGATTCAAGAACAGCTTCTTCCCCGCTGTTGTTATACTTCTGAGTATAAAATTTTAACTTTAATGTTGATTTCACTCTCTGTGCACCTTCTTTACAGCCATAACATTGTATTCTTTGCTCTGTTTTATTACCTTAATGCGCTTTGTATGAAATGATTTACCTGTGCTGCATGTAAAACAAAACTTTTCACTGTACCCAGGTACATGTGACGATAATAAATCAAATCAGTATTACATATAAGTTGCTTCATGTTTGGGCACGCAAATCATAATAAAAATCAGGAAAGTACATAAAGCTTTTGCAGAGTTGGCAAAGATACTTTTCATCACATTACTGCGTTTAAGTGGAGGATGGAATGTCATTCTGTGTTTAGGAAACAATTACTAATCATATTTAAATTATAGGTGATCAGCTTCTTCAGTCATCGGCTGGAACAGGCGGGTGCAGACCTGTCAGTGGAAAGAGTTCTGGAGGTCATCAAACAGGGGGCTGTAGCATTGCCCAAAGATAAACTGAAGGTGAGGAATTCTGTCTTTTAACACTTTAGTTTATTGTGATCAAAATCACCAGGTTTTATACTTAATTACTGAATTAATGTATGTTTTCCCAAGGAATAGGAGTTCTTCAATGCCTTGGTGATAGGGAAGGGAAAATTTTGTATTGTTCTCAGTGTTGATCGCTACGCAAAACAATCTATTAGTTTACATGGTGTGAGGTTACACTGGCAAACTACATTAATGCTCCCTAATGTGCAGCTGCCTGCCAATACTCAATGCCTAGTCTTGCATCGGAGAAAAACTATTTGGGTAAGGAATAAAAGCAGAATACTACAGATGCTGGAGATCTGAAATTAAAACAGAATATGCTGGAAATGCTGAGCAAATCTGGCAGCATCTGTGGGAAGTGAGAAAAAGGTAGCAACTTTTGTTCGGAATGAAAGGAGGATAAAAATGTGAACATGCAGAAATATTTCTAGCAGTTCTTGTTTTTAATTAAGGAAGGAAACCTGAAAGAGTCGAATGGACATGAAGATCAGAGAGAAGAGGAATAAAACAAAGCTGTGTCTGAATGGTGTTAGATAGAAATGTTTGTGATAGTTTTACTGCATAAGTCATCCTTTTTTTGTAAATATTTCCACTGTAGGCCAAACATTGGTTTCAGGTATTGATTGCTTGTAGTTTTCTCTGTGGAACACAGTGTTGTAGTTCAAATAAAAACAGGAAGGGCTAGAAGTACAAAGCAGATCTGGCGACATCTGTAGAAAGAGACAATTAACAATAGCAACAGAAACTGACAGGAAAACTCAGCAGGTCTGGAGAGAGGCATCTGTGTAGAGCTGTTTCGGATCCAGTGACCCTTCTTTAGAAACAATTAATGACTCTTTGCAGACCTGATAATGCTACCATGAGTATTTCCAACATTTTCTGTATACCACCATCTATAGTATTTTACTTCTATTTTAGTATAACAATTTATATGATTTTTTTCATTTTAAATAAAGTGTCTCGCGCTATAATGAGAAGGGACCTTCATAGTCTCAAAGAAAAGAAAGTTTATTGTCTTCAAAGACTTATGAGCCACTGCTTACAATTTGCATTCCTACAACTGCATCAATCTGAAACAAATCTCAAGGCACATCATTAAATACATTTGGAATATAGATGCAAAACAAAGAATTGGGTGAAGGACCCTTGGGTAGCCCTTAGCCACCATGATGTTAGGACCAATGCACTGGCAAATCAGATAACTAGGCTGTATAAATTACTTTAAACTATTTGGGGTGGGGGGAGATTTGGGAGAGGAAAAGAGTAGGCTTATAGAGCAAAAAGATATGGCAACATTACAAGGCGGCTATTTAGATAATGATGTCCTGAACGGGACAGGAAAGGAAAGAGTATACAAATATAGAAAAACAGCAGCAAAGGGTCAAAGGAGGAGAAAATGATAAATAGGCAAAATTAATGGCTCTTTATTTAAATGCATATATTCAAACAAAATAATGGTACAAATAAAGCTTAAGGGGAAATGATATTACAGCCATTACGGGGACATGGTTACAAGGAGATAAAAGCTGGGAATCAAATATTCAGCACTTGTGATATTTCGAAAGGACAGGCAGAAACGGAGAGGGCAGTGGGGTAGCTTGTTAGGGGATGGAATAAGTAAAATAGCAAGAAATAATCTTGGATCAGATCATGAGAATCCATATGGGTGGAGGTAAGAAATAACAAGGGGAATAAGCCACTAATGGGAGTGGTTCATAGGACATCAATAGCTGCACTGGGAGACAGAGTAAATGGGAAAATAATGAGGGTATGTAAAAGTGGCAGTACATTAATTGTGGGTTACATTAATCTTCATGTGGATTGGGGAAGTTAAATTGGCAGAAGTCGCTATGAAGAGAAATTCATAGAGTGCATTCAGGAGAGTTTCCTAGAACAGTATGTTGTGGATCGAACCAGGAATCAAGCTATATAGATCTGGTGATGTGTAATGAAGCAGGTTTGGTAAATGATATCAGCGTAAATGATCCCTTGAGGGAACAGTGACTAAACATGATAGAATTTAGCATTCATTTTGAGAATGAGAAACTTGGATCGGAAATGACTGTACTAATTTTAAATGAGGGTAATTACAAAGAGGTGAGGCAGTGCTAGCTGAAGTAGACTGGGAGAAGAGTTTAGCAGCAAGATAGTTGAGGAACAATGACCAGCTGTTTAAGAAAATGGTTCATGATTCACAACAAAGATATAACCCCATGAGAAAGAAGAATTCTAGGAAGGGAACAAGTCCATCATGGTTAACCAGGCAAGTTGAGGATAGCATCAAATTGAAAGAAAAAACATACAATGCGGCAAAGTGTAGTGGTAAGCTGGAGGATTGGGAAAGCTTAAGTGAGAGAAGTCAAGCTTTGAGCATAAACTTGCAAGTAAAAGTAAGATGGACAGCAAGAGTTTCTTTATATGTACAAAGGAAGAGAGAGGCCAAAGTGAACATAGGCCCCTCAGAGAACAAGGCCGAGAAGATAATAAAGGGGAATCAGGAAATGGCAGAGGAGCTAAATAAATACTGTCTTCAGTATTCATGTTAGAAAACATGACAACATTCCGGCAATGGTACTGAAGACTTGTTCTCCAGAACTTGCCGCTCCCTTAGCCAAGCTGTTCCAGTACAGTTACAACACTGGTATCTACCTGACAATGTGGAAAATTGCCCAAGTATGTCCTGTACACAAACAGCAGGACAAATCCAACCCGGCCAATTACTGCCCCATCAGTCTCCTCTCGATCATCAGTAAAGTGATGGAAGGTGTCACCGACAGTGCTGTCAAGTTGCACCTGCTCAGTGATCCCCAGTTTGGGTTCCACCAGGGCCAATCAGCTCCTGACCTCATTACAGCCTTGGTTCAAACATAGATAAAAGAGTTGAATTCCAGAAGTGAGGTGAGAGTGACAGCCTTTGATATCAAGGCTGCATTCAACCAAGTGTGGCATCAAGGAGCCCTAGCAAAATTGGAATCAATGGGTATCGGGGGCAAACTCTCCAGTGGTTGGAGTCATACCTGACACATAGGAAGATGGTTGTGGTTGTTGGCGGTCAATCATCTCAGCTCCAGGACATCTCTGCAGGAGTTCCTCAGGGTAGTGTCCTAGGCCCAACCATCTTCAGCTGCTTCATCCATGACCTTCACTACATCATAAGGTCAGAAGTGGGGATGTTCGCCAATGATTGCACAATGTTCAGTACCATTCGTGACCTCCTCAGATACTGAAGCAATCCATGTTCACATGCAACAAGATCTGGACAATATCCAGGCTTGGGCACCAGAGTGGGCTGACAAGTGACATTCGTGCCACACAAATGCCAGGCTATGACCATCACCAATAAGAGACAACCTAACCACCGTCCCTTGACACTCAATAGTGTTACCATCACTGAATCCTCCACTATCAACATCCTGGGGGTTACCAGTGACCAGAAACTCAACTGGACTCACCACATTAACACAGTGGCTACAAGAGCAGGCCAGAAGCTGGGAATACTGCGGCGAGTAATTCACCACCTGACTCCTCAAAGCCTGTCTGCCATTTACAAGGCACAGGTCAGGAGCATAATGGAATACTCCCTACTTGCCTGGATGAGTGCAGCCCCAACAACACTCAAGAAGCTTGACACCATCCAGGACAGAGCTAAATTGGTACTACATTCACAAGCATTCACTCCCTCCACCACTGATGCTCAGGAGCAGCAGTGTGTACTATCTACAAGATGCACTGCAGAAGTTCACCAAAGATCCTCAGACAGCATCTTCCAAACCCACGATCACTTCCATCTAGAAGGACAAGGGCATCAGATATATGGGAACACCACCACCTCCAAGTTCCCCTCCAAGTCACTCACTATCCTGACTTGGAAATATATTGCCGTTCCTTCACTGTCGCTGGGTCAAAATCCTGGAATTCCATCCCTAATATCATTGTGGGTCAACCCACAGCAGGAGGACTGCAGCAATTCAAGAAGGCAGCTCACCACCACCTTCTGAAGGGCAACTGGAATGGGCAAGAAATGCTGGCCAGCCAGCAATGCCCACATCCCACAAATGAATAGAGAAAAGAAAACACTAATAATATTTCAAAAATACCAAACAATCAAGAGGGAGAGAAAATAAATACAACTATTACTAAAGAAAATGTATGAATGAAACTAATGAGGCTAAAATCCAGTAGGACCCCTGGACCTGATGAGATACATCTTAGGATATCAAGCGGAGTAGCTATCGAGATAGTTGATATCTTGGTAGTAATCTCTTAGATTCTGGAAAACGTTAACTCTGATTTTTCTTCACAAATGCTATGAGTCCTGCTGAGCTTTTCCAGCAACTTCTGTTTTTGTTCCTGATTTACAGCATTCACAGTTCTTTTGGTTTTTATCTTCCTAATTGTACAAAATGGGAAAGAGATAAAAATAGATAACGTATAGACCAGTTAGCTTAATGTCAGTTAAAAACTGGTAAAATGTTAGAGTCTTTTATAATGTGTGTGATATTATTAAGCAGAGTCACATTTGGTTTCCTTGAGGTGAATTCATGCCTGACAATTATGAAGGGGTAACATGAGAATAGATAAGGACAACCAGTGGATGTAATATATTTGGATTTTCAGAAGGCATTTGATGAAGTACTTTAGGCTGCTTAATTAGATGAGTGGAGTTTGTGCATTAACATGGATAGAGGAATGAATAACTAATAGAAGACAGAGAGTTGCAATTGGGGGCATTTTCAGGATGGCAAACTGTAACTAATAGAGTGCCACAGGGATCATTTCTGGGCCATAATTATTTGTAATATCAATTATCAATTTGAGTGAGGGAAGTGAATGTACTATAGCCAGGAACAAAAACAGAATTTACTGGAAAAGCTCAGCAAGTCTGGCAGCATCTGTGAAGAAAAAAAAATCAGTTAACGTTTCGGATCCAGTGACCTTTCCTCAAAACCGGACCCAAAACGTTAACTCTGAAT